CTCGTCTCGTATCACCTCGCCGCGCCTTCTCTGCGAGAAACTACACGATTGTACTTATTTACATTTGTTTCAGTTGTCTTTCTATCACTTCACCTTTTAGATCTAAACTGACAGATTAGTGACTATGTTTACTATTGTTTTAATTTCTTTAAAGTAACATGTATAAGCAAGTGGAGAGGATAAAGCGATCGGAATATGTAATGAGGTGTAATTAACACGTTTCGATAGTTCAATATCGGCGACGTCTCCGCCGGCATTAACATCATAGTGTTCGATATTTTATCACCGTTCGTATTTGCTGAGCACACGCACACGCCGCAGCGACATCTTTCAATACAAGTTTCTATTTGCTTTAGCTCCATAAAAGATGCTAGCGGACATGTGATTATGATTTCTATCACAAATATTACAATGTATCGAGATCTGTTTTCACCTGCGAGCTTTCATTGCATGTGTATTTAAAAGCTCTGACAATCTTACACCTAATTGGTAAATATAGACTATAGACACGGAAATCGATATTCAAATGTAATTTATCATTCATCATTAATTGATCATAAAGTACAGAAATAAGCACAGGTTAACTAAATTTCTGCAACGCTAAACTTTATCGAATTACAAAACTTGATACAACATTGGTGTCAAAAAGCTCAGAAATCGGTAGTCTAGTACAATTGCTACCCCTCTGTTTGTAGTTGCTCTATTTCTTATTGATTCATCAAGGCTGTCCTAGTGTGTTCAATTTTGTATCTTAAAGAGTTACTCATTTAGGCATATTATCGTTTGAGTTTATATTTATTAAAGGCGTTAATCAATGGTATGTCCCAAGTTATATCGCTTCGGGATTCCGGGAACTTCTTCGAAGCCGCTTCTTGTTTATCCAAAACATAAGCGAGTCGGCACTTTAATGGCGTCGATGGACGATTTTCACTTTCATGTTCAAATCGTTTTAAAGTGTAACCATCAAGGAATCGAGTGTTATCACGTTTTTAATTGTTACAACGCTTTTTAGAACTGTAAGGGTGTGTAAGATTCCAATTTCTGGAAGAAGACTATCTGAAAGTACATGAATAGAGTTTTTAGCGAGTTTTTATATTACTTATTCCGATAGGATACGAAAAAAATGAAAAAATAATAATAAAAAAAAATATACACCCTGTTTTTAAAAAAAAAATTGAAATGTCTAAGTAGCCATTTAAAAGAAACATTGTAATGTATCTATTGTAATGTATGTAATTAAGTTGCTGGAAATAAAAGGCTTTTTTATTATTTTATTTATTTCTTCCGATAGAAACATCCTTACTTATCCTATTTAATCGAATACAAACATGAGTTCTACAAATATTTATTTGAATTGATAACCAAACGATATAACGTAATTGAGTAGCTACGTAATGTAATAGCTATGAAAATATTTAATCGAATATTGTATACAATAGTCCTCTATTCACATATATTCAAACATCTAGTGGTAGGAATATAAAGGGACAATAAGCACTTTAGCATTAAGACGTAGCTTATAGATTGTGTATGATTCGTATGAACTATAAATATGTGAGCAATGTAAACATTACAACACAGCACGTCGACGTCGCGGGGGCGCTGCGAAATTTCGGGTCATCTTTATTGACTCGTCGATTACGAGCGGCACCTTCTCATCGCTACACTAAATAACTAACAGTTAATGTTATATTATAAAATCACGCACGATGTCCGCACAGCGCCGGTAATTCTGTTTGCTTTGCCATTAGCGTGGGTTTAACTAACGTTATCCTACGTATATGTGTATCTCATATTTGGATCTTCTATAAGTAAGTCAATTATGAATAAGCAATATAAAATGAAATGGAGTAAGTGCTGGATTCAACGTAAATAGTTTCTACATTTAGAGAAGCTGACTAAGGTTCTCCTTAAGGGATTAATCCCTAACAATGACCAGTTTCCCAGCTGTAACCATTCGTTAGTGTTTTAAGTTTAGGTAATTCGGTTCTGAACTACGTAACTTGAGTTTTACCCCGTTAAAAACTGAACTTCAGAAACCAGACATATGACAGGAGTTTTTTGATTATACATATGTTAAGAAATCTAGGTCATTTTGCGAATTTCAAAATATGTTTCCAAAGATTTTCTAAAATCAGTTATTTTATGAACTTTGAGAATAGGGTATTTATTACTTATCTTCACTGGCTCTTTGTAGATATCGAAAATCTTTCAAAAATAATTGTTACAAATACCCGCACTGATGGAACTGCTTAATAAAATCGTGATCGGTTTGAAAATGTAAAGAAAAAAATATTAAATGGAATCCAGTAGCATGGGACCCTGAGAAAGTTAAATTGAAGAATTATCGGACAGATTGACGAATATAACAATAGGGTTCTGTATATTGAAACTAATTTAAAATAATTTAGTTTAGCTCTGGTATAGAATTGAACCTGTTTTAAGCAGCAATGATTTTACTTTACTTTACAATTTGTCTCTTGGAAAGCAATGTTATAAGCAGCTACTAGTTATTCTAATTATTTGGAATGTATGCGAAAATCTTCCAACAAAAATGAAATCATTTAATTCGTAGTTTTCTCGCGGATCCCTAAAACGGTTGAATCAAAGGAGGTTGCGTGTCTCTTGCCCCGGAACGTTTATCCGAACGAAACATTTCACCGATAATAACTCCACACAATATAATAATGCGAATAATAAATAAAAATGGAAATAAAATAATAATTTTAATGTCGTAATTGGGGGCCGGCGGCGGCGCAAAATGCCGACTCCGACTGACGTTTTGGTTACCGACAGACAGGGACTTTAGTTACATCGAAGTCGATTGCAAGTCCTTTTATTGCATATATAAAGGATCATCGATGCTTTCTGCACTTAGTTACAATGAAAATGATTATTCCGTTTAACATTCATCTCAATTAAACAAAATAAATAAAGACGATGTATTTAATCCTGTTTCCTTTTATGATTATGATGTTTCGTTATATTTCTGGAATTAGGATAGGACGACATTTTCAGTCGTAATGTGTCCCTGAGGCGCGCACCGCCATCTGCCGGCGATACTTAACATAAGTTTATATACGTTACACGCAAATAAGGATTGTAATTGAAGAGTTAGGTCTCGAGGCGGTGTGTTTACTGACCACGGAATTATAGGAACATGTTGCAATCCGGATTGTCGATATAAATAGGTATTGAAAGAGTTACTTACTCTTCATATTTTTAGCGGTAGATTGATGTCAAGATAATCAATAAGATAGCAGTAAACAGTGAGAATAGTAATAAACCATATAAAAGGTGTTCAGTTTAGTATCAAGAATTACAGACATCGTAATGTGAACGCCATTATTAAGTTTTTATGTATCGTTGTGACGCCTCGCGACATTTATATGTAATTGTCGGTTCGTCAGTCTGTTGGTTCCAGTAGATGCGTTTCACGCTACGAGCACCTGCCTCTCGAGTACACTTTGAAATAAAACACATAAACATTTAAAACTGTGCCATTATGAGTGATTAAATTACATTTTGTCGTGTATTTTTATTATGAGCGAGTGAGAATTTAATTTCAAAATGGCGTCATAGAGACTATTTGACATACTATTAATACTTTGAATTATAAAGTACTCGCTTCCGTCCGCGAGGAAGTAACATTTACAATTAAAAAAAACCAAAAGTGAATGCCTATGAGTTCATCCACACTATCCCGTACATCTGTGCCAAATTTCATCGAGATCCGTTCCTCCGTTTTGGTTACAAACTCTAATAAACATTCATCCATCCATCTAAACTTTTGCATTTATAATATGAGTAGGATAACTTTCGAGTACTGTGACATTTACAGTAGAATTTGCTTTTCTTATCTAATGTTAAGTTTTGACTACGTAATTTTATTAACATTATGTAGTTCATTGCTAATCTTTTATATTGTTCACAGTCGGCACGGTCAGAAGGTGAGTCGTCAGGGGAGCAGTCGTGTGAGAGTTCAGACGAGGGTGTGGGGCGGGATGCACCAACCCACCAACCACATCAACCACATCAGCCCCACCAACCTCACCAGTTGCACCAACCGCATCAGATGCACCAGATGAACCAGATGAACCACAGCATGAACCACGCCATCAATCACCAGCCGATCAACAACCAAATTAATCAACATCAAAGGAATTCGCCGCGACCTCTTGAAAGAGAACTTAAGGTATTATTTTTGTTTCTTCTAACTAATACTACAAAGGTAGAGGGTGGCAAATGAAGTGTAGATAGATTTTGTGAAAGGGGATATTCGTACGTACGTAAAAGGTCAGGGTGATGACAATCTACAGTATTTTTGATTGCTGCTTAATAGATTACTATCATTTCTCGCTCTTCGTTGTCCTAGGCACGAGATGATTTTGAATCTCTGAAGACGTCGCTCCATCCGCACCTATCATCGCTGGCGTCGCTGGCGCAGGGGGCGCCACTGTCTGCCCCGAGCAGCGTGTTCGCGTTGGCGGGCGGGGGCGCCACGGGGGGCTTCCCCTACGCGCCCCCTGCGTTCCTCGCTCCCGCACCACCACCACCCGCGCAGCCCGCTGGCTCGGCCTCCTCCTCTTCATCTGAAGGCAGCGCCGCCGGCTGGAGCTTTGAGGAACAATACAAGCAAGTCCGACAAGTAAGTTCTCTATTTTTTTAACTCAAGTTTTTATAAATCTGATAACACTGACTGTTAGGAGACACAATGAACATTTTATTAGTATTTTTCCTGTAAGGTAAAAGTTTATGATAAAACGATACATACGTAAAAAATGAAATTCCTGACAACTTAATCATAGATAATCAACAACCCTTCCGCGTGTTCCCCTTTTAACTTATTCAGATCCACTATATGGGGACAAGGTGTGTCCAATAAGCGCTGTTTATTCGCTTATTTCGTCCGTCATAACTCGTTCTCTCTTTGTTCCATATTTCATTGGTTTGTAAGGATTATGTCGAGGGTAACGGAAGAGTGGGCATTGAGTCGTGTAATATTAGGGTGGTGATTCTACTCTCCGAACCTGCATTGCACGGTGCCGTCTTCCGAGGAGCGCCTTAGGGTGCAGCGTCCCAACTCGTTGGGACGCACCGAGGGCCCCTTCCCGGGGCGGTCAGTGGGGCGTCGCGGTGGCAAGCGCAAGCGATCCCGTGGCGTCCCACACAATGGCCAGGAGGGAACGAAGGGGTTTAGTGCGGTATGCCCCCCACTATGGGGGGAGAGTCCCACATAACTCTCGTGTCTGCCCAGAGGCATGGAGTATGCAGAAAGCATTCCCCTTCGGAAAAAAAAAAAAAAAAAAAAGGGTGGTGATTCTATTAGGGGTCGAAGTAAACATGTTTGCTTCACGCATTTTTGAATGCACAAAATAATAAAAACATCTTACACTAACTTCTATGTATAGGACCGATCAGTAATGTAAATATTGTGGACTTACTGTTTCCCGCGACTTGGTCCATATGAAAATATGCAATAACAAAAAAGTATAGTCTATGTTACTCACAGATAAATTACCTTTCTAATGATGAAAGATTTTTTAAATTCGGCTTAGTAGTTTTTACGTGAATCGAATACATACAAAAATACAAAATTTTCCTCTTTCTAAAAATTAATTAAATACAAAGTCAATAACCGTCTGGCTGTGTCTATTACACTCATTGTAGATATGTCAATGGATATCATACTTTGGAATCTACCAATTCGTTTATTCTACTAGAGGATATTTTAATTCCCGTTTCCTGAGAAAGGGTATCCAGGTGTTTATTTGGCGAAGATTTCTCAGGCTAATAAGCTGTTAACTTATTGATCATTGGATTATATCGACGCATACGATCACGCGTCTCTGCTTTGTTACTAAGCGATGAAACGAACGCGGTTGTGCGAAAATTCTTGAAGCGGTATAAAGGTAGCTGTTCACGCAACGACTCGATGCAGGTACGAATATTTTAAGTAATTTTTTTTCTACAATATTACATATTGCTAATCCTTTTAGTGATGTTGTAATGATTTTAGACTCCAGTAATAATTGAGTTGTTTTAAATATAGAGTGAACTATAATATTAATTTTTATTATTCGTAGCTATGTTTCTAGACGTAAGCTCCGTATCATAAGCGATTCCAGAAGTACTTAGGTCTTACTTGTCGGATCTTTTCATATGTTATGACCTATTTAAAATTACTTAATATTGAAGTAAACTTTCCCACAGCTGTCGCGCAATCGCATCGTGAATGGCCGCCTTTCTCATTGTTGTGAGACAGCTATTCATACCCATATTATTGAAGTCAAATTAACGTGTTAACTGCTTTTATCCCGTTCGCGTGCTCGCGGCGGAGGCTTCAAAGGACTCAAATCGATCAACCTCTTTTCTGAAAGAGTATTAATAACCCATTTGTCTGTAGACATTTCACTTTATATAAAACCTTCGCTTTATAAATGCAGTTACATATACGAAAAATGATTGATTGGTTGTTGATATAATTGAATAACTTATTGGTTGGTTTTCTTTATATAGTACTAGCTGTTGCTCTCGACTTCGCCCGCGTGAATTAAATAAAGTAGTAAAAACGTAACCTATGTTACTTAGTGATAACATAGCTTTTTAATGGTGCAAAAATTATGTAATATGTCTAGTAGTTTTTGAGTTATTTTAATACATACAAAAATTTATGAATAAAAATCTTTCCTTTTTATAATATTGGCATAGATATAGCAGTATGTAATCGAACAGAAAGACAGATGTGATAATTACAGATTTAAATTTCGACACAATATCCATTGCGTATGTACATGTTACCTCCATACAGATCCCGACTTATTGTACTCTATATAACATTTCGCAAATATGGTTAATTTAAAGAGTGAAAAGCGATGTTTGTTCGTGTTTAATGCATCTCACATTGGTCGCCTTTCACCGGCGCCATACGGCCGCGTCACGAGCTCTTTGTGGTGGATCTTGTGGGCTCGGCACGTGTTAATGCCTCCTACATGACGTGTCGTATGACAATGGTACCGAGCACACACAATGCTGGCTGTAAAATAACGTGCGAAACAGACCAAAGCAACTTTGTCGAGGTGAGAATATCGCCTAATTAAATATTACATTACGGTCGAGAGATATCAAATTGAACCAAAATCAATAAAATGATTTTACTATCTTATGTTTTGATTTATACGCACATTAAAGTAAGACCATAATATCTATGATTTTGTATTGAATTTATGGTATGAAGATATTATCTTACTAATATTACAAATACGAAAGTTTGGGTGAATGAATGGATGTTTACCAGTTAACATCAAAGCGGTAGCATGGATTTGGATCAATGGCAATCTTTATCCTAATTAAAAAAAAATCCATGCGGACGGAGTCGCAAGCTACAGCTAGTATCTTACTTATAATGTCAAATTGATAATGAAGTATTTCAAACATTTTTCTATTTAGAATTGTCACTTATTATAATATTGCGGATTAAGGAGGCCGCTTGCTCGTTTGCCACCATATATTTAAAAAAAAAAGTTTTTTAGTCTACAAACATCCATTCATCCATCCAAAGTTTTGCATTCGCAGTGCTATCAAGATTAATTTTGAATATATTTGATGTTTGTTGGTAATATTTAGGAAGTTTTAGTAGTATATAATATTTTACATTAGTATACTTTTCTACATTCATATTTGAAACTTAGAAAAAACCCTAACTCAAATTAAAAATTCATATCTAATAAATTTAATTGCCATTTAAAAAGTTTCTCTTTAATAACATTATTTAATGCAAATGTCTCTTGTTAGCCAGACCGTTTCAGAGGCGGCCATCGTTCTCTAGTAATTTGTTGTCGAAGACAGTCTTATGTCCTGTCAACTACTGGTCCTACTCGCCCTATGAATAACTATTGAATTACTACAATCGCTAGACGATTCTGTACTTTATACAGTTGTAATAAAGTTCTGAATTAAATTGTCGATGTTGCAATTATGTTGGCAGACATGATAGTCTATAAACGTTGTTGTGAACTTATTTCTCGACCCTAAATCATCATAGCGAATTATTGTTGTGCTGTCCTTTTATTAGCTGTCATTACAGTGTTGTTAAATTGTCGGAAAGCAGACATAAGTTGGGGCGATTTTAATATCTTCATTCTTTTTACTCACGTATGAAGTATTTTTTGAAGCTAATATTTTAAAATAAAAGATGGGGACATAAACCAGAAAGTGTTAAGAATGAATGTGGATGGCTACAAAGGAAAAGGAAAAATGAAGAAAGCATGGATGGATTGTGTGAAAGAGGTTATGCACCCTTTTCTTGTTAGTGTATCTGTAGAGATACATCTTTTTTTTTTTTTACTATTTTTTCTAAACACCTTGGGTCATCAAGGTTAGGTGCTATGAATATTGTTTTCATATTCGAAAAAATAAAATTCTGCCAAGTTAAGGGTGAAATGAGTGGTTTGATAGAGATGTATGGAAGAGCAGCACATACTGTGCCGACCCTCCACAAGGGATAAGGGCAAGTTGATGAATAATTTGAAATAAAGAAAAACGTAGTGAAAATTCTATAAAGTCTGTTTGTTGAAATCGTCTGCAGTTTAGCACTTTTGATCTTATTTTTAATTTAGACTTTAAGGGTTGCCTTACACTGCTGGCTCTATCGACTGCTTAATTGCCCGTGAGTCCGTGTATTGTTTATAGTGGCTATACGTTTTTGCTAAAAAACATGGAATCAAATGCCTATCGTCCTTTAGTAAATGTGTGATTCAATTGCGTCACGTCGCGCACGTCTGGCGCGCGTTTGTCTCGCCCGCTAGGGGGCGGCCGTGTCGCACCGCACACTCATGCATGCCATTTGTCTGCTCAGTAAGTAATTGGAACATTGCACTTTTATGTCATTTGTGAATTACTAAATTTAGTGCTTCTATCAAAACAGATTTCTAAAATAGTCCAGGATTTAAATATGATGAATATGTCACGATTATTTGTCAAAGAACAATTATTATAATATTTATATGTTATTTAGAGATTTATTGCTAAATCATTGGATTCTAATATTGTAGAGGAATCATTTGTATTTTGTATGTATTGAAATAACTCAAAAACTACTGGGCAAATTTTAAAAATTCTTTCACCATTAAAATGCTACGATATCCGTAACTAACATGTTTTTTTTATCGCACGTGAAGTCGCGCATTACAGCTAGTAACTAATAATTCGACAAAAGACATCGATGCTTAACGAGTAACTTGGTTTTCAAGTTCGACAAAGTTTACTCATAATTTAATAATTTAAAAATGTCATGAAAACAATAGAAGATTAGTGTTTTTTCTATAGCACTTTCTATTCGCCCTTTAAAATGCCACACGTTACAGTCAGTAGCGATGTTGCTACCACTAAAGCATTCAGGCAGACTTATCTTGTTACACAATAAGATGGTCGTAAAACAGGTGACAACACATTACCACACCCATGGCCCCTAATCTCTACAGGCTTGTTTTAAATGCCACAAATGCACGTGTCCTATTAGATTCGCCTTCAACCTTTTTAAAGTGCCAGTACGTTATGGTTCGGTAAAAAAACAAATGTTTTTTTCTAACTGGCAACCCAAACGATTAGCCAAGTGAGCCATCGAGCAAGTATTCGAGTGTTTCGAAT